CAGAATCCTTGATTTTTACTCTAAAGCCTTTTCTTCTTTCTGAGTTCCTCATCTCTGTGAATGACAATGCCATTCCCCCAGTTTCTTGGGTCAGAAAGCTCTGGAATTGTCTTTGACTCCTCTTTTCTTCATAGCTCACATCTAATTCATTATCAAATTCGTTCATAACTTCCTTCAAAGCATATCATAACAGGTCCATTTCTCATCAACTTCACTGCTACCACTCTAGTTGAAACCAGCCTCCCTGTCACCTATGTTGGAATACCCACCTCTCCGCTATTTTCCATGAAGTCTTCCCTAGTGTCTATTCTCCACCCTGTAGGCTGAGAGAGGCTTTTAAACTATGTCAGATCTTGACTTGACTCTCTTTGTTAAAAATACTTTAATGGCCTCTCCTTATACTTGGGATAAAATCCAAACTTCCTTTCATGGTTCACAAGATCCCATATAATCAGGTCATTGTCCTGGCGATCTCTCACAATTCTGCTATCACCCCCACATCCCTTGTTGCTCACTACTCTTGCCAAAATCACTCCCTTCCTCTTTTTGGGGGAAGTGCAGCAGGCTCCTAGTTGAGAGCCTTTGGCTTGCTGTTCTCTCTGCCTCTCTGTCATTCAGTCATTTTTTTACTAAAATGTCACAACCTCAAAAAGGTAACTTCTCAAACATCAATAATCAATAATCTCATACTGTTTACCTTCTCTTCTTGCTCTGTTTTATTTTTCTACACAGCATTTAACATCAACTGAAATTATATCACACACTTATTTACGAGCTTGTTTACTGTTTGCCTTCACTACTACAATATAAACTTCACAAGGACAGGAACTTTATTTGCTCATTGTTTTATCCCCGGTGTTTAGCTCAGTGTTTGGTTCTTAGCAGGACTTCACAAATGTTTGTTGAACAAATGAGTGATTTATATTGAGGGAGAATTGTGCACAAATCTTAATCTTGTTTGATCTCTGTAGGACCTCATAGAGAAACGTCAATTCAGTGAGTCACGGTGGTTATATGCTCTAATGCTATTATGGCAGGTAAAAACAAGGTTGAGAATGACTGGCTGCGTGAGGGAGCACTGCTTTGAGATGTAGGAGGTTGGATCTTCACTTTCTGTGCACCAGAACACTTTATGGCCTTTTGAAAGTATGCACACCAGAGACCTGCCCTCAGATGATCTGATTCAGAGGTTGCTGTGGATTAAATATGTCCCCCCAGGGTTCAAGTATTGGAAAATTAATATACATTGCAACAGTATTAAGAGGGTGGGAAATTCTATTCTGATAATTGACAGGTGGGGCCTTTAAGAGGTGATTAGATTGTGAGAACTGTACACTCATGAATGAATTAATCCATTGGTGGTTTAATGGGTGGTAGTGGGTGTGGCTCTGATGACTTTAAAAGAGAGCAAGTGAGGAGGTTAGCTGGTTAGCTCTCTCTTGCTCAGCCCATTCACCCTTCCTTGCTGTAGAAGGCCTTCACCAGATATGTGTTCCTTGGACTTCAGACAACCCAGCCTCCAAAACTGTAAAAAATAAATTTCATTTCTTCATGAATTACCAAGTTTCCAGTATTCTGTTATAAGCTACAGGGAATGCACTAATACAGAGGTCCAGGGTAGATATACACTTATGAAGTTGTTTTAGGTTGGGCTCCTTAGAAGAGGAGCTTGAGATAAGGATTTGGATACATGTGATTTATTGTGGGAGTGCTTGCAGGCAAAATCTGTAAGAAATGGAGGAAAGATAGATGGGGAAGGAGAGGGAGCTGAGCAAGACCATGGTCCAGGTAATCTAGGCTTGGCCTGTTGCACACGGCAAGGGATCTTGATCATAAAGCATACCATAAAGTTGTGTACTCCTTGAGGAAATGGACCAGTATCAGTCAGTCATTGGCCTTGGGCTGCCTGATTGTGGGAGAGGTAACTTTCCAGGCAAGGCAGCTCCCCACAGTGGTGGGCAGTTCTCCAGAAGGGAAGTTGAGAACTATTAATAGCCAACACTCACAGCAGCTGGGGAATGGTGCATTGGCCCAGTGAAGGGAGCTGGCGAGGCTACCACAGTGGCTTCTACAGTCATATTAAAAGGGGCTGAAGGGACACGAGAAACAATTACATTGTATATTGATAAAATAAAATTTAAAAAAGAAAAAAAGGGGCCGATTGTCAAGCACAAACATTCATTTATTGAACAAATATTTATTGTGGCCTGTCATAGGCCAAGTACTATCAGTTGCTGGGATTTAGTAATGAACAGAATTGGTTCCTACAGCAAGGATAGTGAGAAACATAGATATTATTCAACTAAACATGCAATCATAATAAGATACATACTTGCATCATTCCAAAGAGTGAATGGAGGCATGATTATAGAAATAAGTACATGATGTCATATAGGTAGGTAATGATTTCTCATAAATGGTCTTGCTGTAACTCTTAGAAAGATTGTATAAATTCTTTATGATGACAATAATTATCTAATGCTAACTGTATGTTAATCAAATAGTTATCAGGCATTATTTGAAAACTGAAATAGAATGAAAATGTATATTTTCAATCTGGAAATCATTTCAGTATACAAATTCCTTGCTTGATCGTTGTTCAAAAAACAACGATCTTAATGGGAGGTGAAGCAGAAGAAAAGTAAGAATTAAAAATTTAAATGCAACTAAGGTCTTGGGTTAGATGCTAATTCTTGTTTGTCTTTTAGAAATTACCCCCCTAGCAAGGTTGTGGAGAAAAAGGAACTCTCATACATTGTTGGTGGGACTGCAAAATGGTGCAGCCTCAATGGAAAATGGTATGGAGGTTCCTCAAACAATTGCAGATAGATCTACCATATGACCCAGCTATCCCGCTGCTGGGAATATACCCAGAGGAATGGAAATCATCAAGTTGAAGGTATACCTGTTCCCCAATGTTCATCGCAGCACTCTTTTCAGTAGCTAAGAGTTGGAGCCAGCCCAAATGTCCATCATCAGATGAGTGGATACAGAAAATGTGGTATATCTACACAGTAGAATACTACTCTGCTATAAAAAAGAATGAAATACTGCCATTTGCAACAACATGGATGGGCCTAGAGAGAATTATATTAAGTGAAACAAGTCAGGCACAGAAAGAGAAATATCACATGTTCTCACTTATTTGTGGGAACTAAAAAAAAAATAAATAAATACACAAACAACCTGAGGGGGGAGGGAAGAAGACATAACAATTACAATTTCTTGAAGATGATACGACAAGCAAACAGAAAGGACATTGTTGGGAGGGAGGGGGGAGAGGGAGGAGGGAGGGAGGTTTCAGTAATGGGTCACAATAATCAACCACATTGTATATTGACAAAATAAAATAAAATTTAAAAATAAATGAATGAACGAATGAAGGAATGAATGAACAAATAAATAAATAAAAGAAATTACCCCCCTAATTCCTATCCTTGATGTGGTACTAGGGCTAATGTAGGAATCTTGCCGTCGCCGCCCATTGTAGTGCTCTTTATCCTGTTTGTGATGCCAATTGTAAAGCTAGGTGGCCATGCCAGTTGTCAGGCTCTTTTACCTGCTGGTAATCCTGCACCGACTGGGCCATTTGCCGAGCTAGGGCTGGGTCTGGAGTTCCCAGACCCCTCAAGCCCGTTCCAGACTGGATCACGAATCCTTCATATGCCAGGCTAGGTCCCCAGACCCCTCACGTGCCAGAATAGGTCCCCAGAGCCCTCACATGCCAGGCTGGGTCACCAGACCCTTTCCACGCAGGTCTATGAGCTAGGTAACTGGCAAACAGATCCTTGGAAGACGCAGGTTGGAAAGGCATGGACGGTCGTGCCGCGGCTGCCAGAGGCAGTAAACTCCAGCCAAGGGGGTGGCGCTGGGCAGGCACGCTAACTCTGCCCTCACACAACCTATTCACAGCAAATGTTCGGCAGGGTTCTGAACGTCTGAGGGGCCCTGACCATTTTCCCATATTTTCCCAGCACCTGACTAGCAAACCAAGGTAAGAATGAAAATAAGAGCTGTATGAGAAGCAGGAATCTGTTATCAAGGAATATTCAAGCTAAAATTTCACTGACATCATTGAATTGGTATGAAATGTTCACCAATATAAGTCTGGCATAACTGTGTTTAAAAGTTTAAGAGACAAAAAAGTTATTTGACAAATTAGATCACTAAGATCCAAGCAAGGTTTGAGAATTCAGTATTTGTCAAGAAAGTACTAAAGGAAATCTACTTTTTATACATTAAATTATTAGAAAAAAAGACACAAAACATTTTTTAACCACCAATAAATTGGATACCAGTAAATATCCACTTGAAGCTCCTGATTTTATCTAAAGCTCAATTGCATCTCTTTTTTTATCTTTGCAATGGAAATTACTGTACCAGAAAATAAGCCAGCTAATGAGTAACATAATGCATGTCAGTAAAATAGTGTTTCTTACTGTCTTTAGCATACAGCAAAATTTCAAAGGAATACAATTCTGTTTAAGTGTCATGCTGTGGATTGAATTGTGTCCCCCATGTCCGTGTATTAGAAACTTAATTCCCACTGTGACAGTGTTAAGAGGGTGAGAAATCCTATTATGGTGATTGAAAAGTGGGTTCTTGAGAGATGATTAGATTGTGAGGACCATGCCCTAGTAAGTGGATTAATAAGTTGATGGTTTGATGGTGATCATGGGTATGATTCTTAGGCTGTAAAAGGAGAGCATGTGAGGAGCTCTCTCTCTCTTCTGCTCAAGCCATCTGCCATCCCTCAATGTGATACCCTGTGTCACTGAAGTCACCATCAAAGAAGGCCATCACCAGATCTGTTCCCCGAACTTTTGGCTTCCAAGTCTCCAAAATTGTAAGCAATATTCTTTCTTGACAAATTGCCCAGTTTCAGGTATTTCTGTTATAAGCCACAGAAACATACTAAAGCATGTCACCAAACCATTTCTCTAGGAGAATGTAGTGCCAGTGGAAATAACAAGGTTTATTTTCAATAATTTTGTTCATACCTCAAATCCCTGTGGTCTTCCTAGACTCTCTTTTATATATTTCCACGCAACGAGGATCTCTGACACAGACACACTTGTAGCTTTGACATCTGTGGGAGCAGCACTGGGTTCTGAATGAAGGAAAATGGAAATAATAAACCACAATTGTAACGAGTTGTGTCTATCAAAGCATTACCCCTGAATCTGTTGCATGTTAATTTCCTTCTACCTTATTTTTGAAATGAAATGCTGTAGTAGTTATGAAAAACACAACAAGATAAAAAGATAATCTTGTTAGATAATTATACTTGGGTCAAGTCTCATCAATACCTTACCAATGACAAGTGAAAATTCTAGCAAGACAAGAAAAGATCTTTGTTCTTAGATTAGCTAGGACATTTCTGAAGAAGTTAAATTGTCTGACTTAAATTGCCTACCAGTCTAGCATAATAATCAAAAGGATGGTCTGTGGAGTCAGGCTATCAACATGTGTGTGTGTGTGTGTGTGTGTGTGTGTGTGTGTGTGTGTGTGACCGCTGTTGTTTTTTTGTCCTTAAAAAATTTAGTCATTTATTTACCTTTAGGTAAGTTGGTTCATCTCTTTCTAAGCCCTAGTTTTCTCATCTTTAATATGGGCATATAAGAGTATTTATCTCATAGATTTTTAAAGTTAGTTTTAATTTGAATAATACATATACAATATTTAGTACTGTGCTTGACACTTAAAATGTTTATTCACAAGCTATAACATTATTATTACTTATTTATGTTTTACCTTACGCAGGCACAAACAGTCTAAATGTCATTAGATTTTTTTTTATTGTTCCAACCACAAAACTACATTTTTATGATTATATAAAAAATATGTTATGAATCATGATATTTAAAAGGTGTGCTTTGACTTTTAAGACAGGTGTGAACAGAAGAGGAAAGTCCTTGAAGGTCTCGGTACTGCCTTTGCTCAAAACCACCTCTTTTTGTTTCTATGCTCAGTGACCTTTTGCACTATTTTTCTCAAATGCACAGTGTCTGACTGGCATCCATCAAGCGGTGCACTTTATTTGAGGTTGCACTTTATATGAGGAACAAAATATTTCTAGTTTTGACATGGCTGAATCATAAATACTGTGTCATGAACACATGTTAAATGAAATGGCAGAATAAAGGCCATACGTTAGTTCAAACTGTTTTGTACAAAGTCTATTAAGAAAATCCTATCCTATAAAAATTGTAGAGACTTTGGTACTAACCCTAGATCATTGACAAGATTTCAAATTTATTGGCTAATTTTTTTTTTTAGACTCAGTGAACTATATGGAAATGACAGAGTTCCAAATAAGATTTTTAAAAAGCATTAGTACAAATATTGAAGGAATTATAACCATTTCTTGAGATCTTTCCTTTTTTAATAGATGGTGGTCATACATTTATATGGAATGTATTTATATATTATTAATTTAAAAATTTCGGTCAAAAACGTCTACCCTGTTGCTGTAAAAAATGCCCACAAAAGACTTTTCCAAAGATATATGCTTGCAACAAGCAGTGGTTTTCTTTCGGTGAAGACTTTGTTGAAATCACGCTGTAATTGTGTCAACTCAAAGTGCTTTGGCAAATTCACATTAACCTTTGAACAGAAGCTGACATTAATTCCTGCCATGGAATAAATTATAATTTCTCATTTTGTTACCCTTTGTATATCTTTGAATATTTTCTTTCCCTCATTCCACTTTCTGACTCCCTATTATTTGTGCATCTACCTGATTAAGAAAAAAAAACGCATTCTGGTAGAAGTTTCTACTTCATTCTAGAATTCTATTAGCATAGTTACAGTAGACTTTTTTTATTGCTATTTTGTAGGAGTTAAAATTCTTCATTTTGCAAGTAAATAAAATGAAAAGTTGATATTTTTGAGGTCTGTACAACTTGATCTCCAGGATTTAGGATGATTTATTTCATAGGGAGCAAGACTTTGGATATCATTTGTTATTTGGTAGCTGTTTTGCTTCTTTTTAGAATGAATACATTGCAAAGATTTGTCTGCCAAATGCCTTCTTTCAGCTTTTATATTATTGAAACAATTACATCTTAGTCAAAGAAGATTGCAGGGGAATAAATAATTTCAGAAGCACAAAACATGCGGTTGGGTAGCATCCTTTCTCTCTCTCTTTATCTCTAGAGAAGAATTATTTCTTTATCAGCTTTCAGTAGCACTACTCAAGTTTAAGTACTTCTCAAATAGAAAGTTAAACAAGCTAAAAAATAAAAGAAAGTAAAAGAAAATGAAAAATGTTCAGAAATCTACTTCCCAAACAAGCACCTTAATTTCTATTTAAAAGCTCTGAGGATTTAAAATCGAGGTCAGGCCCAACCTAACATTTCACAGTTGCATTCTTCGGGGCTGCACATTACAGTTGCATCTAATTGAATGAGGGTGAATGACTCAAACAAGAACTGAAGAGTCTTTTTTAATCTGTTTCACCTTCTGGATCTAAATCTATCAGAAATAGACCCTTACTGACCTGAATTGGAAATTTCAGCATGTAAAAATAGTGACCTCAGTCAGTTTATTCCAGAAATTTTTATATGTTCTGTTTATAGTTGAGTGAGCATTTTTAAGTGGATCAAAAAGTTTGTTCGGATTGGGACTAGGTATTCTGTTTGGGCATCCCATTGTAACTGAATGATGAAAGATCACAACTAGAAAGAATCTCAGAAAATCACTTAGATCAAAAGTCACAAATAGATGGCCAGTGCGTCTTCAGTCATGTTTTGTTTGTCCACATAATGTGTTAAATTAATTTAAGCCAACATTTAAAAATAAGAATTTCTGGCTTCTCTTGGGGGGAAAAAATGAGGGAGGATACCAAGTATGAATTCTTGAAGAATTAGCAGATGAGGATTAGCAGTTGACTCCATCAGTCAGGGCATGTGCTTCTCAGTTTTGCAGAGTCCGTACCATTCCCTATTGTCTCAAACAGGGAGTCCTTCACTTATTTACATTTTTTACGTGACCCCTATAGACTTTGACCTCTTACCTATATAAGTAGACCCATGAACTATATATATAGTTCATTCTTTTGCTGCTCAATTGCCTCCAAATAACAGACAGAAATGGGTAGAAAAAGATTAGAAACAAACAAGAAAGAGACAAAAATAGATGAGAGGAAGACCTCAAAGTAATAATAATAGTAAAAATAATTGCCATTTATTAAGGATTTGCCATGTTCCAAGCACTGTCCTTAATTCTTTACATGTGTTAATTAATCCTCTCAACAACGCTGTTATCACTATCACCATTTTTCAGATGAAGAAATTAAGAGGCAGAGAGTTTGAGCAACTTGCCCAAGATCACACAGCTGCTAAACGGCGGAGGGAGGATTTGAACACAGTCAGGCCCTGACTGCCACTCTGTCCTGCTTCTGGGCATACGTTTATATTATATATAAACTTGATGCTTTTTCATTTACCATTGCCTTCTTTTCCCCCTTCCCCCTTCACGTCTAAATTCTCTCAAGAACATTAATCTTGGGCTCAGCACTTAAGCTCTCTACTGCTAGGTCTTGCCAGAACACACCTGGACCTGCATCATTATCTGTTTAACTCTGCCACAGGCTTACTATCAACTCCCTTGATTTCTATTTCATGGGCTTTTTGATAATTTTGAAACAGTTTCATTTCTCCTCATAGATCATGCCATATTTCACTATCTCTTACACTCTCCTGATCTCTACATCACAGGATGTTTTCTGTCATTCTGACTCCTGTCAGGTAATTTGATGAAAGTTCAGGGACTTATTTCTGATATTGTACTAGTGTTACGTCTAGTAGACTCAAAGACTTAACAGGATCTCTCTTTTTTTCTTTTACTTATGATGATATTAATTAGGTCATGGATAACTTCTTCACTCCAATCTTGGGCTATGAAGTGGACAGGCTGATTGATAGATTTCAGTTTCCTTTAGATTAAAAAATTTGGACAGAGTTGCCATGTTCATGAATTTAGATGATACATTTGTATTAAGTGACCTAGCAGCTGGAGTTCTCCAAGTAATACCGGGGGATGTGCTTGTAATATTGATTATACATCTGACTTCCCAAGAGGGGTAAGCAACAGCATTAATCAAAGGAGAGTTTAATAAACTCCTTGGGAGAAGGGTTATGGTTTCATTATTTAAAAATTCAGTGAAGACAGCTGTAGTTGAACTTTTATAGGCATTAATCCAAATAGATCATCTGGCAAAGACAGGAAATTATTCCTTGTATTTTTCAACTAATATCTCAATTTATTAATTTTCAAGTTCACATAAATCCCACTGAGCTCACTTTCAGCTAAAAACTAATCTGTAGAATAACACCTTATGAATGTTAAGTTTTAATTTGAGCTGTGGTAGCTCCATTTGTAAGGGGATAATTGCATGTAATTTTCTGCAAATGAAGAGAGGTTTATTTGGTTTCATAAAAATAAAAGCAGTGTATTTTTTCCACATAAGGCAAAACCCAAAAATACTAGAAAAGACCAAAGCACATCAAAAATAAATAAATCTTTCCACATATAATTAATCTATATAGAATTTCCTTCTTTTTTTCTATTAGGTGTAATTGAATGCTCTGGTTCTTTCCCTTTCCAAAGTTACAGAAACAAGAACTAAGTATAACACGGATGTAAGTTTGACTATTAAGTATTTCTAGAACTGTGGAAGTAAAAGCTGATTTAATTTTTTACCTTGGAAAGAATCACTTTTTATCATTTCTACTACCATGCATTTTAAAATAACTTATATTGCTACTTTTCTATTCTTTAAAAAACTGGAATTATTTCCAAAAGTAGAGTATTATATAGGATTATATTACACCCTAGAAATCTGAAGTCAAATCAGGGTTAGGAATGCACGTAATTCTTGCTTGTTTTAAAGGGTATAAATGTTTGATATATGTACAGGGTGTATGGAAATCCTGGCAGGCAAATATTTCTCCTTTCAGGCTTATGACAGATGTTGCTTGGCACTGACAGAGCCATTAAGGGTTACTTCTGTTGTGGAAACATTGAAAGGCTTCAAAGGCTGGAGGGTGGTAGCAGAAGAACCCTTTGGAACTTTACTGACAGTATTCTAGGGCAACAGTCCACCTCAGAGTTGCGAGAGTCAGGGTCATATCCCAAGTGATTTATCAACTATCAGTACTTATAAGTGATGATTCCTTTTAATGAAAGGCCAATTCAAGGTTTTCCCTATAATAAAGTAATTCTCATTTTCATACCAATAGGCTTTTTTGAGAGGAAAGAAAGAGATGGAGGATATGGACAATGCACAGAAGCACTTATGGAAGTGTGTTCTGGATGTGAATGTCATCCTTCATCAATCTTCCCAGTGGGAAATAGGTGGAAAAGTAGTACTGTAATGTGTGCCTTGTAAGTCCTTCTGTTCAGTGCTTCCCTCCAAACAACATTAGTTCTTGTGGCTGCATTTGGCATATTTTTCTTCCTGGCTTAGCATGAGCTATGAAAAGGTGGCTGCTTCATTGTGCTCTAGGCATGTAGCTTAGTTTTCCTGATATAAAGAGAAAGAACTAAGTTCATAAACAGAAATGGAAATTGAGTCTCATTCCTCTTGTTCTTGACTGCGTCTAAGAATATAGAGGAATTTTAGGTGATCAACAAGTGATCTGGGTTAATGAAAGAATAAAGAAGCAGAATTGTCTTCTGACAATACAATCTTAATCTTAATCTGAAATACAATCTTAACCAGATCAGTTGAGCTCTGGGCAAGACTATGAATGATAAAATGTACACTGTGCATCTGTGTGAGCATCCATAGACAGAGGAGAGAAACCTGCGCTGGCACGAGTACAATATATTGTTTTATGAGTTTATTACAAATCTTGACTCCTTTAAATATAATTTAATCTTTGAAATGTTCACTCCTTTTAAACACTTTGCCAAGTGACTACAAAGGGATGTTGTTTTCCCCTTTTTATACAGCAAAAGTAGATCTATGATTATTGCTTATTCCGGGACAATTGTTTAGAAGAATATTTTACAAAACAGAATAAATTGACAGAATTTCAATTTTAGATTTGGAAGGGCTTCCAGAGATGTTTTATTTTGAGACCTTCATTTTGAAAGTGGAGGAAGATAAGGCTCAGAGATGTGAATAAACGGACCAAGATCTTGTAGTTAGTGTGCTCAGATTTGACCTCAGGTTCTGCTGACTCCAGGCAAATGCTCTCTTTTTCTGTTGTCTTGCCTGGCTTGGTTGACACAATTAAATGATGCTAACACTTTACTCATATTTGTACACTAAGTTCCAAATTTCTAAATTTAATTAGTGAGCAAATGCAAAATATATGTTTGAATTTTGCTGTCAGAACAAAGGCAGACTCTATCCAGATTTTACTTGCCTGTTATCTTTCATATTTCAGTCTACCTAAATAAATGATGTGTTACTATGAAATATGTTACAGCAACAACCTCAGTGTCTTTGGAAGAAAATATGCATATTTCCATTCTACCTTGAAAGAGAAATATCCAAAGACAAGCCATTTTAAGTTTAAGGGAACACAGTATAAAACAAACAAACAAATACCATGGTGGCGGATATACTTTGGGGCTATGTGTTTGATTATTAGGTTGAGGCAATTTTATTTTTTTATTTTTTTATTTTTTATTTTTTTTTGTCTTTTGTCATTTTCCATGTCTGGCAACGGATCGCAACCCTCAGTGTTGCCCCCGCACCTGACCGGGGACCAGCAACGGGACCGCAACCCTCGGTGTTGCCCCCGCACCTCGCTCAGCCAGTGAGCGGGAACCGGTCTGTATGTGGGATCTGAACCCTCGGGCGGGAGCGCCGCCGCGCTTCCCAAGCGGCGCACTTATCCAGTGCGCCACCGGGCCGGCCCCAGGTTGAGGCAATTTTAAAGCAACATGAATATGTACTTCCTGCATAAAACATGTACCTCAAAATAGATCTTTGGAGTGATAAGTAATAGAAAATATCATATTGTATACATTCCTGGTGAGGCAGTATTGCATAGTGGTTAAAGTATGTGCTTTAGAGTCATATCGACCTGGTTGAAATCCCAGCTCTGTCACTTAACTATTGTTATTCACAACTGTTACAAACTAGTAACACTAGTTTGAATTTGAGAATGTTGCTTAATCTGTCTGAGATTCAGTTTTCTAGAAAATAGATTGGGGCTTGAGATTGCAACCTCATATTTAGTTTAAGCATTAAAATAGACAATATAAGTAATATGGTAAACTGGCTTTTTCTGAAAATACATGAGAAACCTGAGATGCTAAGTGCATAGTGTCTCATTGAAAAGCCTATGATGCTTTGTCGTTACTTGATTCTTCACTTTCCTGATTATTCTTATAAGATGAAATTTCTGCTTCTGTTTCACAATTTGGCTCTATATTATAAAAGTGCAAGGCAGTTTTTAATTGAAAAATTACACCTTACATAAATCAAACATTACCTTTGTTCTTCAATATTCAAATGACCTTATTTATATTGCTCCATGAAGCTCCCAGCTTCACTGAAAGATTAATAATTCTCTTGAGCTATTCAAGTCACCCATGTGGACACAAAGGAAGTACGGGGTAGTTTATATTGACCATGCTTCATGCTTCCATATCTATTTGGAAGATCAGATGAATGCTTTTGGTGGAACATTTTCTCAGTCATTTGTAAAGTTAGGTAATGTAAGCTTTTTTTTTTTTTTTTTTTCTTTACTTGCAGGGCAAATTGAAATTCTTCATTTGAATAGAGGAAGGACTGAGAGGAAAAGCTGACTTTAGAGGGTTAAATCTATCATGCTTTGTCTCAGTCAGAAAATTGCATTTTTGTATTAAAACCCAAAAGAACTCAGGATTTTGGTGTAGAAAGCTGAGTTTGAATTTCAGCTCCACCACCTATTGACTGTGACCATGAGTAAGTCACAGTTTTACAGTGTAGTCATCTGTAAAAACAGGCTTACTGCTTACTAGGTACTGCCCACCTAGTAGTTGTATTTTGAGAATTAAATGAGGACATGCATATGAAGGCAGCATGCTGTAGAAAAATCAAGGATTTAATGGTTAGACAGATCTGGCTTGAATTCCCAGTTACAAGCTGTATAACTGTTAGCAAGTTCCTTAGCTTTATTTCATTTCAATTTCTCTTTTTGCACAATGGAGATAATAACATCTATTACACAAGATATTCATGAGGATTTAATGAAGTTATGTGTGAAAAGCTTCCAACAGAAAGCCCTATCTGATACTTTATCAGTACAATGCTTTGTGCATGGATTAGAATTAAACACTTATTGGCCACATAAATGTAAATTTATTTCACATATATATTTTTAAAGTATAAAATTATGTAAATTTCAAGCCAGAGAACTAGTTAAATGTCCATTCAGAATACAAATTACAGCTAGATGGAAAAAATAAGTTCTAATGGTCTACAGTAGTGCTAGGCATCCATAATTAACAATAATTTATTGTATGTTTTCAAATGGCTAGAAGAGAGGAGCTCAAATACTGTTATCACAAAGATGCTAAATTTTTGTGATGATGGATATGCTAATTAATTACGCTGATTTGATCATCACATATTGTACACATGTATTAAGGTATAACTCTACCTTATAAATGTGTACAATTTATATATGTCAATTAGAAAATAAATTCATAAAAAATGTTCATCCAAATAATAGAGTACACTGCAGGGATTAATTATTATTAATGTTATTATCATGGAAACCTGTTTGCCACATACAGTTAGGGAGTGAAGAACATAAAGCAACATGTATGGAATAATCATTTTTTCATATAAAAATTTGAAAAAAGTTTGGAAAAATATATCTGAAAAATGTAGTAAGATTATGTGTGTTTTATTTTCTCTTTTGTCTTATTTGTACTTTCTAATATATACACAATTTCTCATTATTTATATAACAAAATAAAATATTAATATGTTGAGTAAAAATAATAGGGATAAAGAAACTGACCTCCTTCAGCTGAACATATGACCACAATTTGACTAAATGGCCCATCTCCTTTATTGTTATAAACGCCAACCTTCACTTCAAAGGGAGTAAGAGGTGGGACACTTTCATCTCGATAAATGAATTTGGAAGCTTCAGAGGATGTCACCATTTTTTCCTTCCAGCCACGTGTTCCATTTGGTCTGAAAGCCACAATATAGCCAAAGCCTTCCCCATTCTGAAACTCTTCAGATACTGGCTAAAGAAGAAACATGCAATTAATTGTCAGCAAAGTGATTAATTTCTTTTAAAAAAACTCTCCAAACTCTTAGTTTTTTTTGTTATGGATAACTAGAGAAAAAGAGAATTTAAAATTTTTATACTACATAGGAAGCCAACATAGCACAGACACTTTGGCAGTTTTTGGAAACTTAAAATGCTGTAATAGTAATAGATAAAAAATTAAAATATATCAGTTGATAAGTAAGAAAACTGTCAAGAGTATTGAAAACTCTTGAAGTGAAACAAATTTGCTCCAATTAGTCATGTATAAGAAATGAAGGTCCTTGGCTTCTATGCTACAATTTAACATGTTGGGGAAAACTGTCCTATGGTCTGGTTGCTGGGAACATCTTGTCACTGGTAATGCTCTGCAGAGCCCTTTGCACAGCAAATCCAGAGCTATTAAGGAAAGATCTTTCTTCTAGTGTTCTTTCCAATTGCCTTTGTGCTGTACTAATGTAAAAAACCTGGACTATAGTTTTTGTTCAAGAAACTTCTTGTGCTGTACAGCTTACATTTATATTTGTTAAATGGGCTTCAACTGCACACCATAGAAAGGAGTAATTGTGATTGACTAGTCAATGGAGCAAAGTTACAAGCCATTAACTAGCACCATGCTTCACACATATTAGGTACGTAATAAATATTTGTTAAATATCTTTTTTTGTTTTGAATTTTGACTCAAAGAAAAACTGTGTATTGAGTATAGGAAGAGAGACAAAGCTTATTGTATTAAAGATTATAGGGAAGGGCAATTTCATTTAGAGAGATCTGATCTCAGTGAAATTCAGATATTGGGAAATTAATACCTTTGCAGAAATCAAAAACAAGATATGATGTTTTATTGAAGAAAAGGAGAATGAACAAAAGAATAGGACAGACGATGTGCTCATGAAGATTTCTTATTGGGAAAAGAAATCTTTCTGTATATTTTATTACTGCTGTTAGAGACTGTCAGGGATTTGTTCCGTTTTGTCCAACAGACATCTCCATTTCTGTGTATTCTAAGGCTCAGTTTTGTGAGCTACCTGGTTATATTTGATAATAAGTTATTTAACGTCTAAAAAGAAAAGTTGCTTCACAGAAGATAAATGTGCTTCTCACACCCCTTTTACCCCCACTCTTTTCCTGTGAAAAAGATACTTTGGAGGCCATATGATGAGGCAGACAAAGGACCACAAATTTTATAATCAAAATTCCAATTCTGTTTACTAGGGAAGGTACTTAAACAGTGCCTGCTTCATAATTTGTAGAAGTAGGAAAACCATCCCTACTAATAGGATTGTTTTAAGGGTTAAATGCGATAACCCAGGCGTGGTGCCACATATTCTGTGGTGGTTAATTCCTTTGTCCCCACTGGTTTCAGCTTCCAAATAAATCTAAGGGACTTCTTAACTGTAAAATAATGGAATATCACACTAAGCCAAACAAACACCTGAAGTAATCTGTGAGAGTGAGATAGGAGATGCTGTTTCAATGGGTTTGGGTTTCAGGACACACTTCTGGATTTCAATCCACTTCCCAAGATCTCAAGCCCGTCTTCTAGGCCCTCCCCTTGGAGGAGAGTTACTCTTGCTTGTTGGACCTATTTTTGGCACCAAATGGGGAAATTGAGACCTCACGGGGCTAATTTATGCAAACCCAGTGCCTGGGCATGCTCAGTAGAAAGAGGTTATATAACCCTAATAGCCAAGTATGCTCGGTAAAGTCGAGTTTATCCTTTGAATGACTTTCCACTAGAGGTGTTAAAGAGCACAGAATATTCTTGAATGTGTTTGGTGCATGTGATAGAATTTGACCAATGAACATGCCCTAAAAGACCAACTGAGCATGTGCAAGAGTATGTTACATAATAGGGAACCCACCCCCTTACTTGAATATTCATTAGATTGAAGGGATATGCATTATTAGATGGTGAAACTATAAAAGTGGAATCCCGGTAGGTGGCGGGGTTGTTGCTCACTTTCCTGGGGCCAACCCGCACCTCACAGACTGTGTAGTGTATACTTTCTTTTTGTATCAGATTTACTTTCAGCAAGCAGCTGCTCACTTTCTTGAGCCAGCCTGCACTCTGTACTAAACATTAAGTGTGTATTTCTTACTTTTGTCTTACACTTGCCCTGCTTAGTCTCTGGAGCTAGGTCACATGTTTTCTGTGAAATCTGTATCACTTATTTATTATTTTGTATCAGATTTACTTTCAGCAAGCAGCTGCTCACTTTCTTGAGCCAGCCTGCACTCTGTACTAAACATTAAGTGTGTATTTCTTACTTTTGTCTTACACTTGCCCTGCTTAGTCTCTGGAGCTAGGTCACATGTTTTCTGTGAAATCTGTATCACTTATTTATTATATTAAACCTGTTTTCACTTTCTACTGTGACTCTGCCCTTGAATTCTTTCCTGTGGCAGAGTCAAGAATCTGGTAAGAGGATGGGGTGGGTTAAGGCTGGCCATTGGGCCTCCCCAGACCCTCTCTTCTGGTCTCAAGAGGATGTGTTTTAATCATTCCAACTTTACGTTGAGATAGTCTGTATGACTGGAAAGCATACCTTAGACTTGGAGAAAAGTCTTCTGGGGCCTGGTATGACACTGAGAAAGCTTCATTTTGGCAACACTCGTCTGAGTAATGCATGCTCAAAGTGTTTCTCAACTTCTTTAAAACAGAAATTTACTCAGTCTCTCTGTACCAAGGGCAAGTACCAGATGTATCACTTTAGTTTCTAAGAAATTAACCAGTTCTGACACCCAAGTAGAGGATGTCTTACCTCCCAGGCGATGACTAACTCATGCCTTCTTCCGCTTCTTCCACTTACATTGGTGGGTGCTGTCTTTGGAACTGTGGATACAAATGGCTTGAGAGTGAGAAGAATAAAGAGACATGTAGTGTAATTCCCTTAGAATAAGAATACATCATGACCCTTGTTACATAGGGTAAAATCCTGAGATAAACAAATTAAACGTGAGTTTGAAGCTATATTAAAATTGAAGTCATGTAAAATATTAAAGTATTTGTGGCAGATACCCTGCTTTCAAATCTGTGTGGGAGAGTTTGATATACATTTTTCATGGCTACATGCTGCATCCCCAAACTAGTTCCTTTGTACATGCTCCATGGTAGCAATGTGTAAATCATAATTAACACTATAGCCAAGGCCATCTACTAATGGTTAGTAAATTTCGTCCTTCAAGATGCTCACTTGTCTCCTCTTTGCTAACGATATGACTCTTCTGTTGTCCCAGGGCTTCCAGAGCTCCCAGGAAATCCACAAGTTGACTGGCATTATTGCCTTACCAGAACCCCCAGGAAACTCCAGTTTGAAGAAATCTTAGTAACAATTCCACGGAGTAAGAACCTACTTAAATGAATAAATGTCCAAAAAAAAAAAAAAAAATCTGTCAACAATCAATCTCTCTGCAAACTGCAAAATATATAGGCACTCAGTGAAACTTTTTCAAATGAATAACTATTACAAGAATAAATGTGTGTCAAAGAAATAAATTTCCCCTTCAATGCACCAAACCACAAAATCATCAGTTGAAAGTGAATGTTTTCAAATGAAGAACTGTTAAATGAAGAAAACTGTTAAAAGAAATCATTTTCCAGGCTATGAGCTTACATGAGCAATTTTACACTTCAGCATTGCCTTTCTATCCCACAATATAGTTTTTAAATGATATTGATATACTCATAAACAATAAATTTACTGTCATGTATTACCTACTTGGATGAAAGGTTATTAATTACTGGTAGATATTCTCATAGCATTTTATAAACCAGAAAAACTGAAGTGGAATTTATATATTATCAGAAAGGGAAAAAAAAATTCACCCTGAGTCAGGGAGGTGGGAGAGAAAAACCTGTGAATATATAATTGCTCCATTGAAATCAATGACCTTTATTCATCCAGGGCCCAAATTTTAGTATCTTTGGGCACGTTTTTTCTCCATAAGCACGATTCTTCTCTTGCTCATGTACATTTTGTAGCTATGAAAATAGGATTACACAGCAGCAGGATATATACAGCAGTAGCTCCCAATCTCTTTTTTCTTTTTTCACACTTACTTGCATACTAAAGATTATTCATATGTAGAGTTCACTTTCGTGGATTCTCTCAGAATTACATGAAATTGGATACCTTTTTGTCTCTGGTTCAAGAAGTTACATGGAATTCAACTGAGAAAAAATGATGGCATTAGAACAATAACTGTGAATATATCCTAATTTATTTGAACAGAAAGCAAATCATGTGTTAACATGAGTTTTTTTTTAATTAGTTGTCACAGTTATTGCTACATGCAACAAACAGTGACGTGTCAGTATGCCTTGACACCATGTCTGAAAAACCATGCCTGAAAAACCATGTCTGTTATATGGTACTAGTTTTAAATTTATTTTCTGGTCTGTGGTATGGGTAAGGCGCACAAGAAAGAAGGTGGTTTAAGTGTATGTGTAAAAGGACAGGGATCCAAAAGTTCCAAATATTCCCTAGTAGCTAATCTCAGAGTTCTTAATGTCATGACCGCCATAGTCAAATGAATAATTGAAGCAAGTTAATTTGCTGATATTATGTCATTATGGCTATTCTTAGTACCACTTTTTTTTAAAGTGCGCGTGCACAAACACACACACACACACACACACACACACACTCTTCACATTTATCTCTGACAACTCACATTTATTTTTATTTATTTATTTATTTATTTATTTTCCTTTTTGTCTCTTTTTTCGTGACCAGCAACAGATCGCAACCCTCAGTGTTGCGCCCGCACCTCGCTCAGCCAGTGAGCGGCTGTCTGTATGTGGGATCCGAACCCTCGGCGGGAGCGCCGCCACGCTCCCAAGCGGTGCACTGTAGCAGTGCGCCACCAGGCCGGCCGGACAACTCACATTTAAATAACATTATGAGTAGTATCTGCCAGACCAAGTACTTTGTCTATTACATTGGACTAAGTTTATACTCTAAATTTAGGACTTTGAATCCTCTTTTTTGAGGATATCATACCTATGATCATGAATTTCTGTAGAAAGATTAGGCAGTGAAGATCCTTTTCTATTTTGTTCAGCCTTCAAACATCATCTAGAAGGAGCAGGCTCAAAACCTCTAGATTAGAGTTGGAGAGCAGCTCTAGGCTCTCTAGTGGGCATCTCTTGAAACCGATTTAAAAGGTAAGAGCAGAATGAAATACAAGTAACTATTTGAAATCAAAATCTTTGAAGATTTGGTACTATTGTTTCACAATTCAGTAATGCTTTTATTTTTCAGAAAAGATATTTAAATTTTTCAGAAAAGATATTTAAATTTTTCAGAAGTTTTAATTTTCTGAGTAAAATAATTAAAAAGAAATGGATGGACATTTTGGTGAAGACGTGCACCTTGAGGAACTAAGAAAGAAAAATAAGGCTTTCTATGATTTGATTCATTATATGTGGTAATTTCTACATCAAATGTTCCACAAATTACCTAAGTTTGATAAAATTCTTTTATTATGAAGTCAGTCTTTGAGGTTTTCTTACTGCTGCTAATTTCTTTTCAAGACAAGATAGCTCATATTCAACTTAATGTAAAGAAATAAGATACTCCTTTTCTTACCTTACTTCCAATTTTAATGTATACAAAAAGAGGCATTATGGTTCATTGTGTTTTAATAGTAAATGTTCTAAGTACCAACTACTCTTAAATAAAAAAAAGCTTACTAGATATAATAGGAACTACTAATAGAAAACTTAAGGCTTTAAGAGCCGCAACTCAGGCATTGTGTTTTGTTGTCATGGTCACAATGTTTGAATTGGGTACTCTTAATTCTAATTGGCTTAAATTTCCTAATTACATGCAGATGATCAGTGGAGCCCATGCTCATTCATTTCCTTTTCAAGTTGGTGGCACACAGTTATTATCTCTGCAGTCAATGCTTTGGAGTCCACTGATTTTAATTATATCCCTTTATAAAATAACATATTCATGATATGAAGGGATTTGACTTAATCTTTCAGAGCCCTTCTGGTGTGAAAGTTCTATAATTCTTGTTAGTAGCATAAAATTAATATAAATCAAACATCTAATAAATGCTTTCATTGAGTTCAGAGAAATACATATTGACTTAAAAACTAAATATATTTTCAATATAATTAATGAAAACCTGATTTAGAATTAAGCAGCTAGATCTTTTTCTCCCTCAGTTGGCAACTGATAAATGTCATGAGCATATTAGCTTGGAGAATCAAGTTTACATGCGTGGTTAGCAAGTTAAACTCCAATTCTTCTGCATTTCATTCTGAGCAATGCTCCTCCATGAACGGGTAACGTAATTGGTACTTTGCCTACAAGCTACCAATGGCTAGCTCTTTTAGGACTTATCTGACATGTTGAAATATAGACTGTCTCTTTTCATCTTAACATTCTTGCAAACATTTAGAGTGACCAAAATATAGTGTACGACCTTAGTTTAAGCATGCTCAAATATCAAAAAAACTCTATCTAAGTATAATAGTTTAAACAAAGTGAGTCACACTAATGATATGCCTTAACTAGCATTCAACCAAACAAAAGAAAATAAAATAAAATCATTTACCCATCTCCTTTTTTTGCTGAAAAATTTCCAATTTCTATTACAGTAAGTCTTTACATGGCTCTTTAAATAATACAGCTTATTAGAGACCTGAGAGAGGGCATGCAATTTAGGAGCTTAATGGTTATCCAGTGACTGGTTTGGAAAAAAAGGTGCAGAGAAATAGAAAGAGGGAAGGGAGGTTGTACATACAGTAAAGGTGGAAATCAGGAGGGAAATCTAGAAAACAATTTTTTTATGCCCAAATTGAAATGTATAGCACATAAATATTTCAATTAATTCATTATCATGTAATCTCAGTTTACAGAAAGAGTAAAATTTAAAGAGTTTCCAAAATTAAAAAAAAATACCAGTGGTATTTCCTAAAGAGTTCAAACAATGCTTTTATTCTTATCAGTAGGGTAGATGAGGTGGTATGTACAAATGGTGAAGGTATTCTTGTGGTGGTGAGAAAGATCTGGGCTTGTATCTCAGTTCTACCATTCCAGCTGCTCAGCTAAAAATATTTTTTAATGTTTTTGTCCTTCAGTTGTCTCATGGAGATGATAATAGCACTTACTTTTTAAGGTTATGCTCATAATTATTTATCACAGTGCCTGGAACTGTAATTAATGAGGACTAGCCAATACTATTATCTGCTTAGATTTGAAAAATAGAAAGTGGTGAAGTCTTCTATACTAGATGCTAAACATTCAGCATAACTCTATATACATGTGATCGTGAAATATAATAAGTTTCTTGGATATTTGGATAATATTATTTTGGTAGTACCATGGCAATTATGTTTTCAGTTTTGGCACAGCTTGTTTTAAAAAGGATGTCAAAGCAATATGCCCTTTTTGTTTTGCAAAAGAGGTTTCTAGGATATTTCAGAAAATAGATTTCTCTGATTTATGAACCTTTTTATCAATAGCAACAGTCAAGAACGCAGGAGGTGAGTACATACAGTCAATGGTGTTTACCTCAACTCATGTTCTCTTCTCTATTTATACAGATTTTCAAGGAACTAAAAGCTTACAATGGATAAAATAGTCTCTTAATGAGATTTGTGGGTCAAAAGAGGAGATGAAAAGTCGAGAAGAAGAGAGTAGGTGGGGAGAGGGGATTACTTTAGAGGTATCATATTTGGAGTAAGGTCTGGGTTAGAATCCCAGCTCTGCCACTTATTGGCTAGATAAACTTGTGTGAGTTTATTAAACTCTATACATATATTTTCTCACCTGTAAAATGGGAATAAACACCATTTTAGAGGAATGCTTTAGAGAG